AGTGACTGGGAATATGCCCCTGAAGGAGATTGTGGGAACCAAGACTCCCACTTCCTCTTCCTCTCCCTGCCCCTGTCTCTCTCTTTCGTCCTGCAGGTGAGGTGAGCAACTGTGCTCCACCACATGCTCCCCCGACGAGATGCTGCCTCATCACAAGTCCAAAGGCAACAAAGCCAATTAGCCATGGACTGAAACCCATAGAACTGTGAGCCAAACCAAACCTTTCCTCTTTATAAGTTGATTTTCCTAGGTACATGTTACAGTAATGAAAAAATGTGGATGTTACCTACAACTAAAGTATCTCTGCAGTTAAGCTGTGGTATTTTAAAAGACTTATGAATATCTTACTCAATAGTTTAGGAAAAAGAATGCAAGGATCAGAGAAAGCTGAAATGTAAATAGAATTGGAGATGATATCCCAGCAGTACTGGGTCTTAAATATCAACTGGCATGTCCAAGGGTAAAGAGGTGAAGCTTTACAAACTCTTCAAGTCATGCAAATGTCTAAATTGAACATTCTCTCCCACCTTTAAAAATATAACAAAGTTCCAAGGTCTAAAATAAACTCATCTTTATTGTAGTGGTTTCTAAATGCTTGCAAAAGCCATAATAATAGAATTATAGAATAAAAAATAGGAATGCCATATTAGAGATCATCTGATGAAAAGTGAAAAGAGTGTTAAAGAAGTCAAGTGTTTACATTTATTCTATTTCAGAGCTGTTGTACTTATTTATTAAACTCCTGATAAGCAGTGTAACTTTTCAGCAATAGGATGTGTGTGTGTGTGTGTGTGTGTGTGTGTGTGTGTGTGTGTGTGTGTAGACATAACATATATGGACAAGTAGATGAAGTAAATCTGAGTAAATGTTTCAATATGGTTGTAGTAGCTACCTTTGACTGATTGATTAATTGATCGATTATATAAGAAATAAATCCAGTATTCCCTACTGAGCTACATCCCCAGCCCTTTTTTTGATTTACTTTGAGACAGGGTCTTGCCAAGTTGCTAAGCTGCCCAGGCTGGACTCCAATTTTCCATTCTCCTGCCTCAGCCCCCCAGAGTGCTGGGTTTACAGATGTGTGCCATCATGCCCAGCTGAGGCTACCTTTAATAACATTTAGAATTGTACCATATGCTGCTTACTTCGAATAGATTATCTGTAAAGACACAGCATCCAGTTGATGCACAGCCCGCTTCTGCTGGAGGAACTGATTTTGAGAGCGGCTGAAAGAGTCACTCAGCATCAGATAGCGAGTAAGAGGCACAGCGGACCTCTGACCCCAGGATCTTCAGATTCCACAGCCTTCTTCCCTACCAGCATCCAAGATGCCACTTTTGTGCTATAAAATAAATACGTATGTGGCACTCTGTGCCGATGACAAGTTACTGGAAATATGCTTAACACTAACTGTAGTAATAGCAATTGCATATTTGATTCTCTTACACTGTTTATCTTTGTGATTATTTTATTCTCACCAGTATCTCCCTAAGTAACAGGAGCAGTGTATCATTTTCTTTAAATAAGAATGCGATTAGAGAAGGCTGAATCATTGGTTAATAGTGAAGTATTTAAAATAGTTTTTCATTATTCTTGGACTACCACAATGCTTAGCTTTGGATGGAATCAATGGAAACATTTGGAGCTCATTCTCAACCCTGCCTTCCTGGTCGCTAGAATCCTCTGCTGACCAGGTCTCTATTTCTTCAGTGTGTAGTGGGAGGAGGTGCCTTAAGTACACATTGGGTTCAGGACATCTCATCACTGATGCCTTTATGGGCATCTTTTTAATATCATTATTAATTTATAGCAGTAATGTAATACACATCCCTGGAACACAGCTCCACAGTAACCCTGGGTCGGCGCAGTAATCACACAGGAGTGCCCTCCCTGCCCCATCTCATCCTGCCAGTGCCCCACCTGGGTGCCTGCTGCACCCAGGATCGTCATTCCTGCACTTATGATTTTATTCAGCTTTGTCTTAGCTCTATAATCTTTGAAGATGTATAATCCTTTAAAATACCCTTAAATTTTATGGAAAAGTCTGTAACCTACAAAAGGTTAAAAGAGTAGTAGCCATAAGGTCCATGTACCAATCACAATCTTACCAAATTTCACCCTCTCCTTGCCTCCTTTTCAGTTCCCTCTCCCTGTAATCATTTTAAAGTAAATGGCATTCACAGACCTCCTCCAACTGCTTCACCATGTGCCACCTAAGAATGATGTTTCTATTTTTATCTATCTACCTATCTGTCATCTATCTATCTACTTATTTTTTGTCTTTTTGAGATAGTGTCTTGCTATGCAATTCAGGCTGGCCATGAGCTCACTTTGTAGCTCAGGCTGGTCTTGAACTCACAATGATCCTCTTGCCTCAGCTTCCTGAGTGCTGGGATTACAGGCGTGTGCCACCATGCCTGGCTAAGAATGATGCTTTTAACCAAAACACACCATCACATCTAAGAAAGGAATGCTAATTTTGTGATCTCCATATTACAATATAATAATAAACTATTCATATTAAAATGCCCATCATTTACCTCAAAAAGTTTTTCCTATTTTTAAATAAAATATGATATACTGTCAAGATATCTGGATTGTTTTGTTTGTTATTAGCTTTTTGGTTTGTTTCTATGATTCTCTGTCTTTCCTTTGTCATGGTATTATTTTTAAGCCGTTGCGTTTTTACATGTCATTTAACATATTGCAGTGACCCTGTATTTTATACATTATCATCTGAATTGTGTATTTTTCTGAGGCTTGGTTAAATTGAGGTTAGACATCTTTGGCAAAGATACTTAATAGGGAAGTTGTGTACTTCACATTGCGTTCTGTCAGGAGGTACATGATTCAGGCTGCCCACTCATTTACTTGGCAATTGTTAATTAAATCTTTCCACTTTAAATATATATCCACAGATTCTTGGATACTTTCCCATTCATGAGGTGCATTTTGTGGGGTGATGTGGGGGCTCATGAGTGCAGGCTCTCACCATGTTTCCTAGGCTGGCCTCAAACTCTTGGCTCAAAAAATATTTCTGCCTTTGCCTTCCAAGTGGATAGGAATATGGGCACAGCTTGAATGGATCTTAATTCTCTCCCAGCTTCCATGGCAGGAGGCATTCATACCATGGGTGAAAATTTCCAGGGGGTGAGGAATGGACATTATCCCCTACACACAAAAAAGCAGCCATTGTGTTGTCCTGTGACTCAGTGAGCTTGGAAGTCGATTCTCTACCACCATTTGATTATACTGTATTAAATTACATTTTCTTAAGAAATTTGTCAACTAGGGGCTGGGGATTTAGCTCAGCGGCAAAGCGCCTGCCTGGCAAGTGCAAGGTCGTGAGTTCAGTTCCCGGTACCGGAGAAAAACAAAAAAAACAAAAAAAAAAAAAAAGAAATTTGTCAACTGAGTCTAATTTTCCAAATTGTTAGCACATAGGTGATAATAGTGTTCTCTTGTATTTTATATCTCCATTAGGTCTTTAGATTGTTTAAATTCATAGTAGTACTCATATATGACTTTTCTCTTTTTCTTGTATAATCTTGCCAGGGTTTATTGGTTTGTTTTTGAAGAACCAATGTTTGGCTTGGTTAACAGTCTCTGTTGAAACTTCATTTTATATTTTATTGATTTCTATTCTTATTTATATTATCTCACTACTCCTACTATTAAATTTTAGCATCTTGTCTTTCCTAATCTAAGAACTAATATCTAAAATATTCTTCATTTCATTTCAGTACCAGGGATTGAAGCCAAAACCTTTGCACTGAGCTACATCCCAGCCCATTGTTACTTTTTTTATTTTGAGACAGGTCTTACTAAGTCACTAAATTGCCCAGGTTGGGCTCCAATTTACTATCCTCTCACCTCATCCTCCCAGAGTGGTAGGATTACAGACCTATTTGACCAGGTTCTGCCAAAATATATCTTATATTACCATTTTTTGCTATATTCCATGAGCTTTGATATATAAGATGTTAATTTTTTGGATATTTGGAAGATAGTAAAGATAACAGTTTTTAAGCCTTTGTGTCAGTTCTACTTCATTTTCAGTTTATTGCTCTCTTAATTACTGGTTATAATTTCCTAATTTTGTTCACACTTGGTAATTTTTTACTGAGATATTATTACCATTACCTTGTTAGATCCTTGGATCCTTTTGTATTCCTGTAAATATTTTTGAACTTTGTTCTGACATGCAGATGGTAATTTCCTTGGAAATAGTTTAATCCTTCTCCGTACCGTGCTTATGGCTTGTTAGACAGGACTGGAGCTGTGTTTAGTCTAGAGCTGATTACAGTACACCCTGCTACTGAGGCAAAACCTTTCTCAGTGCTCTTCCTGTCCCCCCAGAAATCCAGAGCTCTTCTAATCTTGTAGGTGGAAGCAGGCACTATAGCACTCCCTTGGTGACTATCAGGTGCTATTTTCTTTAATAATTTTGAGTTATTGTATTATTAGTGTTCTCTAGAAAAGCAGAACCATTAGAGTGCAATTAGGGTATGTGTGTTTGTCTCATAAGGAATTGGCTTATGTAATTTTGGAGGCTTAGAAACCCTAAAATCTCCAGTCTACAAGCTGGAGACTTAGAGAGATATAAGACTTATCAATGATATAAGTTTCCATCCCCTCTCAGCAGGCAGATCCTGAGTCTGAGAAGAATAGATGTTTCCGTGTAAATCCAAGGCAGAAGACTGATATGCCTCCTCAAGCATTCAGAGAGGAAGAATTCCTTTTCACTCAACTTCTTATTCTAGTCAGGCCTTAATTTATTAGATGAGGCCTGCCCTTTTTTTGAGAGGGCAGTCTGCTTTACTCAGTCCACTGATCTGAATGTTACTCTTATCCAAAACATTCTCACAGACAAACCCAGGATGATGTCTGACCAAATGTCGATGATCTCATAACTTGGACAAGCTGACATAGCAAATTAACTGTCACAGTGGTTCCCTTCTTTCCCTCCATGGTTCACTTGCCTGAGTCCTCAAGGGAGACATCTTCGTGTCTGCAGGTCCTCCTTACACCTCTCTTCTCTCTGGGACTCTGAACGGCAGTCTTGCTGATTTGATCCCCGGATTTTCAGTTGGGCTCCTCAACTCTCTCAAGGTGGTATTAGGGCAATCATACGGTTTGGTCCAATTGATTCCCACCTCTCATGAATCACTGTCCCATGTTGCCTGATGTCCAATATTTGAAGTGGGTTTTTTTTGTATATTTTGTCCATTTTGGATTTTTTCGAAGGATTGTTTAAGGTGGAAGGATCAGGTCAGCACCTCTTACTTTAGACTTCCAAGCAGAAGTCCCTAGAATGTTTTGGATTATAATTTTAAGTTTTTAGTATTTTTTGTTTGTTTGTTTGCAGTACTACAGATTGAATCCAGGGCCTTCGCACTGAACTACATCCCTAATTTTAAGACAGGATCTTGCTAAGTCTGTGGGTTGCCCCAGCTGGGCTCAAATTAGTGATCTCTTTACGTCAACCTCTCAGAGTTCTGGTCATTGTGCCTGGCTGATTTTTTTTCTTTAACTCAGAGTTATTTAGAAACGTGTTACTAAAATTTGTAAATATACAGGGATTCTACTTTATCATTTTAAAATTAACTTAAAACATAATATTCTATACATGGTTAATTTTGCTACATACATGGTCAATTTTGTAAATGTTCCATGTGACTCTATGGTCTCGTTTTAGGTGTAAAATTTTTTATAAATTCATTGAACTCAGTCTCATTAGTTGTGTCAGTCATATCTCCTAATCACTATTAAACATTTTTTAACTTCATTTGTCAGTAGTTTAGATAAATATATTGAAGTCACTCATCACAATAGTTGGATTTATCAATTTCTACCTGTAGTTCAATCAAATTTTGCTTCATATTTCTGAGGCTATTTTGTTGGGTAGATATTTAGTATTTTGATATCTTCTTGTTAAACTGAACTTTTAACATTATTTACTGACGATCTTTTTTCCTAATAATGCTTTTGTTTTTAAAGTCTCTCTCAAAATTGTCTGATGGAAATTTTTGAGCAATATTTGCACTTCCAAATTTCCTACTAGCCAAATTAAGAAGGTAAGGGGCAACAAGTTATTTCAAGTTTAATAATACACTTTAACCTAACATATCCAAAATTGTGTCACCTCCATATGTAATTACTATAATAATTATTAAAATTATTAATTGTGGTAAGTGTTTTAAACCTAGTACATGTTGTGCATTTATAGCACATTTCAATTCACACTAGACACATTCCAAGTGTTCAGTAGGCATTTGTGGTTGGGGCCTACAAAGTTGGAAATCACAGGTCTATATGGCTATCCTAGATTACTTTCCAATAGTATTACTTCTTTTGCCTCTTTTTGCCTTTGATACTTTTTGTACTCTTAAATTCTGTGTCTTTATAGAAGGTGTATATATTAGTTTATGGGGTTTGATATACAAAAAAATCTGGCATAGAACAACTTTGAAATATGGGTACTTTTTTCAGTTAATGGAATGTTGGAATCTCCATCCAGGTGGCATTTGAACTGGTGCTCATGGCCTAAATACGCATCAGCATTAAAGGAACCAGTGTCAATGCTGAGAAACAGACGTGGCTGGCTTGGAGTCAGGTCCCGGGAGGGGATGGTAGGGTACTTGGGTTTCTAAGAACCAAACAGTTGTGGGGAAAAGTTGGGGAAGCATGCATCAAACACATTTGGCAATATTTATACATCAAGAATAAACCAAATAAATTTACTCTACATAACTGTTAAGTTGTCTTAAGCCCAGAACCAATGGCTTTTAGTCCTATTATGATACATTTAGAAATGCTGCATCACCAATGCTTGTGATAACACAAATAATATATCATGCAGATACTGAGAAATAGAAAAGTGATTTATGAGAGTTGGGTGAATGTGATCAAAGTTAAGAAACACTTTAATCAACTTATTTTGCTTCAATTTTACTGGCTATATGTGCATATTAGTTGCACATGATAAAATATACATCTAAATAAATCAAAAGAGCGCTATAACCTGGGATAAAATAACTCTAAGTGATAAGAAAACTTTGTTGTAATTTAATTGATAGCATTTCTTCTTTTTTCTTAGATTTACATACACTATGCATCATATATTCAGTACGTGTTAAATTTGATTAAATAAGGTTTCTAGATCTTAGTTTTGCTCTTATACAATATGACAATCATTTTTTAAGTGGCAAGTCCTATCGATTTGTGTTTAATATACGTGGATTTTTTGGGGGGTGCTCGGGCTCTGTGAGTGGTTGGCCAGTGTGCTCCCCTGAGTCACTCCCCCATCTGTCTCTGAAATCATGGTTTATTATTTCAACTTGTGTGTGTGTGTGTGGTGATAAGAACTGAGCTCAGGGACTTTCCAGTGCTGGCCAAGTACTCTACCTCTGAGCCACACCCCAGCTCTATCATTTCCATAGATATTACTTTTCGTGCTTCTTTTAACCCTCATGACTTAGTCATGGCCTCATCTCTGGAACAAAATGTCTGACCCACAGTTTAAAGGAGAAGGGGTTAATTTCAGTGCACTTCTGTCCTGCCCTGGGTCTGCAGCTCCCAGGTAGAAACAGAATGGCAGAGGGGAATGGTAGAGGGAACAGTGCTCAACCCAGGGCAGCCAGGAAGCAGTGAAAGGAAACGCCAGGCACAGGTGCACACCCCTCCAGGTCACATGCCCAATGACCCACTCCGACCAGGCCCTACTTCCTAGCAGAAGTCTGCTATGGCATTCCAGTGGTCCAGTCACCTGCCACGTACAAGAGGGTTGGGGGGACCTTTTAGATCTAAGCCATAGCACCTCTCTTGTTATGTATCTTTCCATTCTGTCGTGCGCTGTAATACTCAGAATATTAAACTTGACTATGGATGGGTATTTCCCTTTTGTCCATTTTGTCTCTTTCTTACTCGGCAATATGCATGTTATGGTAGGCTGAATAAAAGCCTCCCAAGGAGGTCTACTCCCTAATCCCTGGAGCTCATGAATATGTTACATCATGTGGCAAAAAGGAGCTCTGCAAATCTGATTGAAGTTAAAGGCTTTCTTTCTTTTGAGAGAGGGCCTTGCTATGCAGCCCAGGCTGGGCTTGAACCTACAATCCTCCTACCTCAGCCTCCAGAATACCAGGATTACAATTTGTCCCGCCGTGCCTGGCTAAAGTTAAGGAACGAGAGGAGGAGATTAATGTGCATTACTCAGGTGGGCCCAGACTAATCACAATCCTTACAAGTGGGGAGAGTATTTGGAAGGATGGTGAGACAGAAACAGCTTTAGAAAACAAAGGAAATTTATTTTCTAAATAAATAGAAAATTTTTGTTGAATTAAATTTTTGTTGAATTAAAAATTTAAATTGAATTCCAGTTCAATATTCTGAGTATTACAGGGCATGACAGAATGGAAAGATACATAACAAGAGAGGTGCTATGGCTTAGATCTAAAAGGTCCCCCCAACCCTCTTGTACGTGGCAGGTGACTGGACCACTGGAATATGGTATCGGACTTCTGCTAGGAGAAGGACTTCTGCATTAGAAAATAAAGGAAGAGGAGCATACGCCACAGCTTCTACAAATAGAAGAAGGCAATGGAATGGACTGGCCCCGACAGCTCCTAAAAGGAGTACAACTCTGCGGATACCATGGTTTCTTTTTTTTTAGTACCAGAAATTGAACTCAGGACCTTTCCCTTGCCAGGTAGGTGCTGTGCTGCTGAGCTATATCTCCCATTGATACCTTAGTTTCAATTCTGTGAGATTTGTGTTTAACTTTCCACCTACAGAACTCTAAGGTAATAAGCCTGTGTTGTTTTTAAGCCACTAAGCTTGTGCTAATTTGTTACAGCAACAGTAGAAAACTAATACAGATAATTCAAGAAAAACAAATCTTGTCCAGTACTTACAGATCTTTACTTCATCTACAGGTTGCATGCTTTAAACTTGTTTGCCTTCTGAGTACTTGACCTGAAACTGTTTTCACCATGGGGCTTTGTGTGGCAAATTTTTTGAGGCTTTACTCAACTGAGAATATTTCTACCATGCCCGTATATTTTAGCTACAAAAAAAATCTAGGTCCTGATTCATTTTCCTTTTTTAAAAAAGTATATCATTTTTTAACAAGCTTTTAGAATTTCCTTTCGATTTGATATTTTAAATTTTCACTTTATAGATGGAGGTAAAATGTTTTTTATTATTTGCTAAGAAACAACAAATATTTGTTACTTTGGGGCTTTGTAGATCTCATTTTATGTCTTTCATTTTCTTTAATTTGAGAATTTTGTCTCCATTATGTCTCTATTTACTGAATCTTGTATCTTACTATTTTGGTGGCTTTTACACATATGTTAACAGTCCTACTCCTTTCACATTATCTTGCTTTATTTTTCTATTTTCTTTTGCTTTCTTCCACTATTATCTTTTGCTGACAGCTTCTCAATCTGGCCTTCTGATATGCTAATTTCCTTGGGTAGATCTACTTACTATTTATATCCTCTGTTCTATTTACTATAACAAATTTTTCCACTATTTTCTGTTTAAAATAGTCTCTTTTTTAATACTGTCAGTAGTTTATTTTGTGTTGTGTTTAGTGTTTGTTTTAGGACTTTTAAAATCTTTTGTCCATTCTGAAGAAATCTGTAATCATTCCTTCTCTTTTCTAAATAGGTGGCTGTTTCAGACTGTAAGATCCTGTTTTCTTGTTTTCTGTTGGGAAAAACCAAAGGCCATCCCCCATTCGGTGTTGAAGAAGCACGAGTATGTGGTAGCAGGCACCAGAAAATCACCTTTAATTACTCCTTCCTCCATGACAGCTAAGTGAAGCTGCTCCCAGTGGAGGAAGGGGAGCAGTCCTTATCTGTGTAATCGAGCCCAGGTATATCCAGGGGCAGGGGTGGGAAGCACCTGCTGAGTCTAGTCTGTCCCATGGGTTTTCTCTGTTTTTTCACTTGCACAGGTCTTCTTCTGTGTTACTCTGAGGCCCAGCATTTCTCCCCAACTCCTTAGAACTTCCCATTGTTTAATTTAAGATGACAGGAATGCAAACTCTGTGAGCAGGGAGACAGAGACTGTTTATCTCTATATCTACAGGGACCAGGACCAGGTCTGACATATGGTAATGTCCTAATAAATAATTGTACAGTGAAATATCCTGAAATCAGAAAGAATTGGATGAAGGTAGCCCAAGAATAGTATTTACATATCATTTACAAACACATATAGGGTGTTTTAAAAGACTGGAGACAGAAAAAAGGCTATAAAGAGAATTTGAAGAAAAATTTAAATTATCAGGTTCTTCCACAGGGAAAAAATGATTTGGTTCATTATTCATACACACAGAAAAGTCAGATCAGAAGCACATATTTTCTGTTCATGTGCATATGCATATGCATTGTATGACCTCTGGAAGGCATTTGATACAATTGGAAAAACTTTTTCTCTTGAAACCCTCTTATTTTTTATTTTTCTATTATTTTAAAGAGAAAATAACAAAAACAAAGACAAAAGCCAAACAACACAAAAACTATAAAAACAATACATAATTTCAAAACAAGGTGATAGGAAATCAACAATGTTGTTATATTACTTATTGTTATCTTCAAAGTAGTTGCTCAGATTACCAGATATAGGTATGCAAGATTGATCAAACAATTAAACATTAACTGTTCCTTTCAACAAACCAATAGAAATTAGTAGTACAATTATCTTAACTATCGTGTGTGTATGTGTGTGTGTATATCCCTTCTTCTTTCTTTATTTTCTCCTTTCCCTCATCCCAGTTGTTCTTTCCTTTTGAGCAGTTTCTTTCTCTTTTACAACATCTATTGTACCTTTCAGATTTTATTTACTCTTGCAGGTTCTTCCACTAGGGAGACAGTATGATGTTTACACACGTGAGTCTGATTAATTTCACTTATGAGTATGGTCCTGAAACCCTTTTAAAGGTGCATCCTTCCCTACATCAGCTTCTTTCATAGTTTTGCACTTACCATTTATTTCTGCTTCCCTGTCTCCTCCACAGACTGATTTCTTCCCTCTCACCCATGGTTCCTGGGTTCCATGTGGGCATTCTTCTCTTCTGAAGATTGAACCTAGGGCCTTGCACATTCTAGGCAAGATCTCTACCACTAAGCTATAGCCCCAGCCCTCCCCATCAGTTCTGAAATCTACCACTTCAATAATTTCTTGTTTGTCCTCCTTTCATTCTCTTCCCAACCAACCTATGACCATACCATTATTTTCCCAAAAATTATTTGGTAGCTCTCAATCATAGTGATAGTAAAGTGTAAACTGTTAGCATAAATTCCATTTGCTTCTGATCGGCCCTGGTCTGTTGCATCTCTGATATCCCCTGTGCCAGTGGTGGTGATTTATGGCGTGCTTGCTGAAGCTGGCTGTTGGTTTTTATTGAAAGCTCTAAATGATTTGCCCTCACTCCTCTATGTTTTGTTCTGTGTTCCAGGAGGGTCAAACAACTTGTGACTCTTTAAACACATCCAATTGCATTCTCTCTGTCTGGCATGTCTGTTTGCTTCATCTACTCTTGGTGGCATGACAAGGGCCGGCAACGATCTGGGTAAGGAGAGGAAGGTCTCAAGCTCAGCCAGCAGAAAAGACACCCATAAATTCTGTAATTTTAAGAGAAACTTAAGGTTGGACAGAACATGAGACAGAGAAGTCTTGCAGAATGAAAAGTAAAACAAGGTGAGGAGCTAGCACTGTTAAAGCCAGGCGTGGCAGTGCATACCTCTAATTCCAGCATTCTGGGAGCCTGAGGCAGGAGGAGGGCAAGTTGCAGCCCTGCCTGGGCAACTTAGAAACTTAGTGAAAGCCTGTCTCAAAACAGAAAATTAAATAAACAAAAAAGGACTGAGTATGTAACTCAGTGAGAAGGCCCTGAGTTCAATCCCAGTACTGAGAAAAAAAGTTTCACTGCTCAGCCTCCAATTCTTGTTGACCTGGCAATGAAATCATCATCTCACTCTATTTGTACTATAAAGAGAAAACCTACCTGTAAATGAAACAAGCAGTAATTAAACATCTCAGTAAGCATCAATAAGCATCTCGTTGGGAGAAAGTCAAGGGATGGGCGTGGTGGCATACACTTGTAATCCCAGCACTCAAGAGGCTGAGGCAGGAAGATCGTTGCAAGTCTGAGACCAGCCTGGGCTACAAAGTTAGCTCAGGGCCAGTCTGAACTGCATAGCAAGACCCTGTCTCAAAAAGACAGAAAAAAGGAAAAAAAAAAAAGGTCAAAGGATGATATTGGGAGGGGTCTGTGCTGTAAAGAAAGAGTGAAGTGATGGAGAGAGAAAATAATTTATATAAATATACAGGGTTAACTTTAGCTCGTGCTTGGCAGGGTTTCTGGTCCTATACGCCTGTGTTTTGCCCACTGTTTTTAGTCAGAAGTGCTGTGAACTAATGAACTGTGTGAGATTGTAAGTATCTTTGTGGTCTATTTGTGTGTCGCTGTTTGAAAAGATGCCCTGGAACCCAAGAGGATTCCAGGATTTAGGAAAGGCATTCACTGCCTACCAAGGGTTTGGGACAATCCAAGGAGCTTGCTCTTCACTTTCTCTTCCTGTCCTGTCATGATTAGGTGGGGGAGGTACAGTGGGGTGGAGAAGGCGTGATCAACTCTATCCAAACCTGTTCTGGGGGTTCAGACAGAGAGCTAACATCTGTGAGGAATTTTAAAATGAGTTATATCTCTTCAAAATGTTATCTTATGTCTCTGTTAAAAAAATGTTTGGCCATGTGTGGTGGTGCATACCTGTGATGCAATCACTTAAAGAGACAGGCAGGAGGATTGCAAGTTTGAGTCCAATTTGGGTAATTTAAGGAAACCCTGTCTCCAAAATAAAGTAGGAGTGGGACTGGGAATATAGCTTACTGGTAGGAAATTCCGTTCCCCAGTACCAAAACAAAACAAACAATCCCCCCACAAGATTTAGCTATTACAAATTGTGCTGCTATAAACATGGGTGCACATGTATTGCTGTGATATGATGTTTTTAATTCTTCTGGAAAGATGTCCAGAAGGGGAATAGCTGGGTCGAACAGAACCTCTAGTCCTAGTTTTTTGAGGACTCTCCACATGATTTCCTAGTGGTTGCACCAGTCTACACTCTCACCAACAGTGGAGAAGAGTTCCTTTTCCCCACAGCCCCTCCCGCATTTGTTATTCGTTGAATTCTTGATGATGGCCATTCTTTCTGGGGTGAGATGGAGTTTCAGTGTTGTTTTAATTTGCATCTCTCTAATAACCAGTGATGTTGAATATTTTTTCATACATTCATTTTCTGCTTGTATTTCATCTGAGAAGTGCAAATTCATCTCAGATGCCCAGTTTTGGATGGGTCTTTGAATTTGGGGAGTCTGAGATGGAGAAAGGGGGAAAACAAGAAAAGGAAAAGGAAAAAAAAAAACAAAAAATAAAGTAGAAACAAAGCTTTGTAAATAGGGAAATGAAAAGTAGCAGAAGAGAGGAGAGGAGATTGGGAAAAAGAGAGAAATCAAAATATATCATGTGCCAGGCATGGTGGTGGTGCATGCCTATAACTTTAGCAGTCAGGAGGTAAGGCAGGAGGATCACTGCAAGTCTGAGGCCA